TTAAATGCCTATTTATAAATAGCTAACGGCTATTTTGGCAGGTAAAACGGCCATATTTTAAATTCCATAAAGGCTATAATGTGACAGATTTAAATTTTTTTTAAAATTAGCCCTTGGGCCCGGATAGGCCCGTTTAGGACCGCTTGAACCGGACCACTTCCCAGCCGGTCCCGGTCTCGGTCTCGCGGGCCTCGCCTATGGGACCGGCCTACTACCCATCCCACCTCCCCACGGTCCCGATCCTATCCGGTTAGAACCGTTTAGGCCCACTGCCCATTTGGGCTTGCGGTTCTGGGCCGGGCCCGATCCTAACCGGCCCACATTCCACCCTTATGCTCACCTTGGGGTCCCAACAACTATCTTCCATCATACTCCCTCTGTTTCAAATTAGATGAGTTACTTTCCTTTTTAGTCTGCTCCAAAATAAATGACACATTTCTAAATTTGGAAATAACTCAACTTTAAACTCTTCATTTTATCCATTTTACCTTTAATAAGAATCTTTTATAACCACACAAATGTCATAGCCCCACAAAGTTTTTACCCCTTAAGCTTTTAAGACCACAAGTTTCAAAAGTTTTCTTCTTTCTTCTTAAATTCAGTGCCGAGTCAAACTAGCTCATCTAAATTGAAACGGAGGAAGTAACAATTTTTGGTTTTGTTGCTCTGTTGTGACTTGCACAAACATTGATCCACTAGTCACACCGAGAAAGCTATAGATATTATAAGGCTGATGCAAGAGTAATACACTACTAAATAATACAGACACAAGTCATTTGACATGAGAGATTTGGGTTCAACAAGACAAACTATCCTCATGAAAACTGTTCGAGATTTGGGTTTATAGTAGGTTCGATGGAAAAACGCATTTCGTTCAATATTTGATATTTTTATACAAATTTTATACAATATGTCCTTTGTATATTTTGTATATGATTTATACATAGTAAAAATAAATTTCATACAACTAATTATATATTATACAACTTATCTACAATTTTCATACATTATTTCTACCCAATTATATACAACTACAATATCATACCACTTAAATATAATTTTTATACAAATTTTATACAATATATCTTTTGTATATTTTGTATCTGATTTATACATAGTAAAAATAAATTTCATACAACTAATTATATATTATACAACTTATCTACAATTTTCATACATTATTTCTACCCAATTATATACAACTACAATATCATACCACTTAAATATAATTTTTATACAAATTTTATACAATATATCTTTTGTATATTTTGTATCTGATTTATACATAGTAAAAATAAATTTCATACAACTAATTATATATTATACAACTTATCTACAACTTTCATACATTATTTCTACTCAGTTATATACAACTATAATATCATATAACTTAAATACAATTTTTATACAATATTGTTCAACTTTCATACAATATTTAAATAAAAATATATATATAAACAACAGAATACAATTTTTCTACAACTATACTACAATTTCGTAAGTATAATGTATGTCATGTCTTCTTCTCCTTCTTCTTTTTCGAGTTTCAATCTGAAATTCAACCAAAATCAAGTCTAATCTTCACTAAAACACTCTCAAAATTGAGATATAAACTCCAAACATTATTCTCAATTGTTTGCAATAACACCCAATCCAAAGAAATAATAATTTTGAAAACCCAAATTCGAATTCAAAGCTTCAAAGCTTTTTAATGGTTGTCAATGGTGGAATTGCTGTTCTTTTTTCCTTTGCTCTACATTACTGGAATTAGGGATAGAGACATAGAGAGACGTAGAGAGAATTCTCAATTGTTTGCAATAACACCCAATTCAAACAAATAATAGTTTTTGAATACCTAAATTCGAATTCAAAACTTCAAACCTTTTTAGTGGCTGTCAATGGTGGAATTGCTACTCTCTTTTCCTTTGCTCTACATTACTGAAATTAGGGATTGAGAGATAGATACAGAGAGAGAGAGAGAGAGAGAGAGAGAGAGAGAGAGAACAGGAGAGAGACGGAGAGAGAGTGCGGGAAGGAGAGAGAATAAGGATGAGAAATAATTGATTCCTAATATAAATGGATACTCATTTAATTCCTAAAATGTATATAATTGGTAAATTTATATATAGAATGTAATTAAATTGAAACTTGACTAGGGAAGGTAATAAAGTTTCAAATAGTTTATAGGAATGTAAAAATTCCATTAAAATAACTTTGTTAAGGTCCGACCTTAAAGTTTCAAGTCTTTGGCTTTGTTAGTACTGATGCTGCGAAAGAAATATATATCCAGAAATTATATAGCATTGCATAAGCCCCCCACCACACCCCGCGCTCGTATAGATGTCTGAAATTAAGGCATTATACCACTAATCACCTAATTCAAATATATTTTCTTCTTCTTTCTCCCCTTTACGATTCCTTTTGGAAGAATAAATTTGGCAGGGAATATCATATGTTAATCTCATTGCTTTACAATCATAAGCATGCAATATTAAACACCCCACAATTAATAAATTAGGTAGTAGTACTAAATTTCAGCTTATCCTGAACCAATTTAGAATAACATAAACCGGAGAAATTAGATGCATGAACAATATAATCGTCCTAAATTGAATGAGTATAGAGGCGGTCTTTTACCCCTGCTGGTGGATAAAAATCTAGAGAAATGCCAAATGGATAAAGGAGGAGATATGGTATTGAGCTCACAGCTCATCACAGGATAGAGTGCAATCCTTTGTAGCCACACATGGGTCGGGTCCCCCTAGTAAAAATCTTGGAAAATTGATGGACTAGAGATCGCCAAGTGCGCATCAACTGCTGTTTATGGAATCTTGATACCCAATGAGATCATAGATATAGATATCACAAGATAAGGATTCTTTTGCTCTTACCTCCTATATATTGTGAAGCCCAATTTATAACTTCAGCTCATCACAGCCAACTTGGGCATTTCAAACCATCAAACACTCACTTTTCTTTTCAAAATAAAACCATGGCTGCTGCTACAATGGCTCTTTCTTCCCCTTCTTTCGCTGGACAGGCAGTGAAACTCTCCCCATCTGCCCCAGAAATCACCGGAAATGGAAGGGTCTCCATGAGAAAGACTGTCGCCAAACCCGTCGCATCTAGCAGCCCATGGTACGGCCCAGACCGTGTTAAGTACTTGGGTCCATTCTCCGGTGAGTCCCCAAGCTACTTGACCGGTGAATTCCCCGGTGATTACGGGTGGGATACTGCTGGACTTTCAGCAGACCCAGAAACCTTTGCCAAGAACCGTGAACTCGAGGTGATCCACTGCAGATGGGCTATGCTTGGTGCTCTTGGATGTGTCTTCCCCGAGCTCTTGGCCCGTAATGGTGTCAAGTTTGGTGAGGCTGTGTGGTTCAAGGCTGGATCCCAAATCTTTAGCGAGGGTGGACTTGACTACTTGGGCAACCCAAGCTTGGTCCATGCACAAAGCATCTTGGCCATCTGGGCTTGCCAAGTTATCTTGATGGGAGCCGTTGAGGGTTACCGTGTTGCTGGTGGGCCTCTTGGTGAGGTTGTCGACCCACTCTACCCTGGTGGCAGCTTTGACCCACTGGGCCTCGCTGAGGACCCAGAGGCATTTGCTGAGCTCAAGGTAAAGGAGATTAAGAACGGAAGACTTGCCATGTTCTCTATGTTCGGATTCTTTGTTCAGGCCATTGTTACTGGAAAAGGTCCATTGGAGAACCTTGCTGACCATCTTGCAGACCCAGTTAACAACAATGCTTGGGCATACGCCACAAACTTTGTCCCCGGAAAGTGAATCTTAAAACATTCTCAAAATTCTGATTGTTTGATGGCCTTGTAAAGCTGTCGTGCGTTACCTGATAATATAATGAGATTTTGTTTGTGTTTAAATGACTGTTTATTTCTGAGTTTCATACCCATTAATCAAACAGCCACAAAAAAAAAAAAAAAAAAAAAAAAAAAAAAAAAAAAGAACACAGGAAAAAAGGCCTAATGACCACTGGACATTCGAGTAACTAAAAACACTGTAAAGCTGTTAAAAGCTTAAACTTGATTTTACAGACTAGAGCAGCTTATGGAATTTAATGGATTCTCTTTAAAATCTATACAAGATCTCACGTACTAAACAAGTTGACTACACTGTCTATGTATTTGCTTTAAGTTGCAAGCACTATGCGAAGTATATACTAACAACATATTTGGTGGAAAAGAATATATATTTACTAACATAGAGATTTATACAAATTTGTAAAACTCTGTTGTTCATTTTCTTGCCGGAAAAGCTTCGCAGATGGTATGCCAATTCTGACTTTTACCTTTGATGTCCGACATCATACATGCATTTTACTTTTGTGAATCACAATGTTCTGTCAAGGGTTGCTCGCCTAGTTATCCCCTAACAGATGCTATCGCCACGGAATGATGGCATTGACAAGTAGCTTAGATCAATGAATTAACAAATCATGGTTAGAAAGAGATCAACTACGACTTGCAGTTCTTGCCCTCAAAACAGCCTTATCGTAAAGTTCTTCATATTGTGATGCTGACGAATCCCAACTAAAATCTATGTTCATGTCCTTCTGAACCAGCTCTTTCCAAGTCTCAGCATTGTTCATGTAGTAGTTAAATGCACGTTCCAAGGCGTTGTTGAATCCCTGGTCATGAAACAGTGCAACATAAAACTCGTTTAAGAACAATGCTTGATGCTCGATATAAAGAACAATGCTTGATGCAGAGTCCGAACAGCAGTAATTTGCTAATGGGGCGCAAAACTGCACCACTATTATGTCTTGGACAACTTTTTACTAATGTTTTAGGCTCTTAGCTATTAAAGTGAGGTTACCTGTTCATCAGCAGTCACAAACGTAAATCCATTTCTAAACTGATCTGGGATTGTGTCATCGTCAACATCGAAAACACTGCAAACATATTTGAATGGTTAAAAATAAATATGAAACAGTATAACCATGAACTCTGATTAATAAAGAAGTCCTGCTGTGTCGCGTTGACGAACCTATCATTCAAGCCCCCTGTTTTCCTAGCTATTGGTATAGACCCATATCTCATCGCTATCATCTGCAGAAATAGAATTCGGATTCAAACATTAGAGCCAAAAAAATACTGAGTTATTTAAAAAGGTTCTTCATTTACTATAAAGTGTTCAAGCAATTATGGAATGACCTGAGTAAGGCCGCAAGGCTCAAAGATGGATGGGATGATAAGCATGTCAGATGCTGCATAAATCAAATGGGAAAGAGCCTCATCATACTTTAATACCAACCGAGCATGTTCGTGATTTTGGAAATGGTTTCTGATATCCTCAAACTCCCTCTGCACCAACATTGATGTATGAGTTGACAGATTGCTAAACATTATGCTAGGATGAACTAGGGGTAGAGCAAACGGTGGAGGAATCCACAGCAAGTGCAGAAAAGTTCACATGAAAGGTTTGACAAGAAACAAACATGGAAAAAGCAGATGTAACATACCAAAACTGAAAAGTATCATGAAAGAGAAGCATTAAATTTCTTATCAAATACAATTTTATTATTTTCCCATGATTAACAATGGAAGGAGAAGCCACTAATAGAAAATCTAGCAAAACCCAAGCCTCCTCATCTCTGTCAGGGGATATAACAACAACAAGAATAAGAATAAAAAATATTGCTTCAATTCATTTAAGTACCAATACAAAAGAATACAAGTAAGAATGGGGATGATTTACCATAGTACATAGAAATTAAAAGAAACCAGCATCCCTGACTTTAGCAAAAGAACACATCATCTCAAAGAAAAGAAAAGACAACCTTGTCCAAGGAATGTAGCTGTGACTGATGCAAACCATTTTTGAATCGTCAAAAAGAGGTGCTATGGGGTTTCCAAGTTTCGGGTGTCTCCATAAAGACAGGATTTCTGAGTTGATAAGCACAGAAACAAAAGCATAGAACTGCTAGACTGGAAGGATTTGGTTACTGAATTATTCATTCTCATGCACACCTAACTAGAAGATCCAACATATGGATTGAAAATCCAACAGCTATCTTTCTGTACAAGTCTGAATTCCTATTGACGAAACTGGAAATATAGAACTTACTTTTTCTTCTTCTTCTTCTCCCGCGTTTCTCATTTTATTGATAAACAAAGTTTAAAAGCTTGAGCTAAACAGACTTATCTGTGTGCTAAATTTCGGCTAAGTATATCATCTCAATATCATCATTAAGACGTCATGATGATTGTATTTTCCTATNATTTTATCGATAAACAAAGTTTAAGAGCTTGAGCTAAACAGACTTATCTGTGTGCTAAAATTTCAGTGAAGTATATCTTCTCAATTTCATCATTAAGACGTCATGATGATTGTATTTGCATACAGCATGATGCTGCGAAGGAAAAGGAAATCATTACCTGAATATGTGGCACTGGACTAGAACCAAGAAGAACAAATTGACCTCCCAACTCCAAAGTCCTATATATGGCATGTCTAATAAGATGCACACCCTTTTGAGGAACCAGTCTTGTTATGCAACCAACCTGTAACCAAGCAATCGTAGGTTAAAATTATAAGTGATACGGAAGTCCTTATCCAAACTGAGAGAATAAGCTCAGCATCTCATAATGCAATGTCAATTAGTATATCCAGCCCAACTGATGTTCTTCTTAACTTGTTAGCTATTAATCCTCCAATATCATATTTGAAAATTTTAACATAACCTACACCGTGTCTTTCTTGTTATCTTTGCTTTTCAACTTCCGTTAGAAGTAGTAAGTATATTTACATCAGATATTGTGATAAATAAGGGTGTGGATGCCAAGATAGGTCGATTGGTACAATAAAATGAGTAGTCTACTGTCATCTAATTACTGTTAAAGATAAAATAAACAGTGGGATGACTCATGGAATCTAAACATCACCACTTCTTAACACATGACATTCCAACATTTTCTAAGAATTTAGACTTGATTCAAGATGTTTTTACTTCAAACGAAGTGTTTCTTGAGTTAACTTTGATGAAATATTATCCCATGTTAACTAATGTGTAACATTCCTCAAATCTATAAAAGTTTCTAACACATGCTAAATATAGAATTTAATTTTTTTCTTTTAATCTTAAATTATACTTCTATTACGGATTTAAACCCTTGTGATTGACTTTTGAGTTACTTCTATGTTTATAAATAATTGGATATACAATTAGGGGAATATTAATAATTTTAATATTATTAATTATTAAAAGTAGGTTTAATTAAATATTAGTTAAGTCAAAACCAATTAAAAAAAATTAAAAAAAAGGGAAAAACAAATAAAATAAGGAAGCACGTGACAAGCCTTAGCCCTTTAAGGCAAAGGATTAAACAAAGGGCTTTAAGGATTAATCAGAAACAGAACGTTGTTCTGTCACGCAAGGCACGCAGGCAACGAAAACAAAATTCTAGGGTTCTTTACAAATCACTAATTCTTGAACTCAGGTATATAAAATTCCATATTGTCAATTATCCTACAGTGGTAATAGATAAGAATTGAATAGTTAATTCCCTTCTTTCTCTGTATCAACAGTAAATTTCATGTTTAGGTGAGAAACTTTAAAATTGATTAAAATGCATTGGTTGTTGTAGAATCAACTGTTTGACGGGTATAAATTGGATTGGGGCATGCGTATTGGCTCAAGGAGTTTTGAGGTGAGTTGATATAACCCTTTACTAAAGTAGTTTAACTAACAAAATCACGCATATAAGGTGGTTGATGAATTGCTTAAAAGAGTTTATATGTACTTAATTGGAGCGAGTGAGTACCTATTAACTTAGAATTATTCTAGCAAAAGTTTAGATGATTTATTATGATATATGTGCATAAATTTTCAGATTTTTGTGTTATTCTTATATGCCATTTTCATGTTGAAAATTTATGAAGAAGCAAGAATCTATAGAAATACTTTTGAATGTTTATTTCATTCTTATGCCATGCTTTACGTTTAAGGATAACAATATGAGTATGTATAGGATGTTCCAGAAAGGATTTAGACTTGAAAAGTCACAAGAAGAAGTTTTAGTAAGAAAAGATTTTTGGGAGTATCCTCTATTCTGAGAAGGGGTCATCGTCCAGTCCGAGGATCCTGATCAAGGCGTTGACTTCCTAAAACTACTTGTGCCAAAGTAGGGAGCACACGAGCCGAGGGTCTCGTTGCTAAGAATTTACCCAGTCATCTAAGGCATGACACATGAACGTTGAGAACCATGAAGCTCGTGGCACCTCGTGGATTGGGCCTATTCGATCAGGTTGGGATCGAACCCGTGCCGATCACACGGTGACTGAGACGGAACTAAGTCAGAATAGTTGGAACTCCCGAAGTATAAAGTGAAGTATTTTTTTTATAAGAAAGAAAAAAAAAAGAATTTCTTTTAGAATATTTATAAACTGCTATTATGCAATTATTTTAGAATTGTTCTTATAAGCTTTATGTTTTTCATGCATTTAGAATCTTTGCTCGTAATGTATATTTTATTAAAGTTTCGTCCCCTGTCGTTGAGACTTACTGAGTACAATGGATGGTACTGACGTTCTCTTTTAGGAACCTACGTTGGTCTGCGGTACAACGTAGGAACCGGTTTTGCAGGCGAGCAGGCTACAGGTTAGGACTTCCCTCTCTTCCAGTGCTATTGGTGAGCTTCGCTTTTGTTCGTGGAGTACTCCTTAAAGTCATCTTTGTTTAATTATTTCTTTGTTTACTTGGAGAACTAGCCAGGCAATCTCATGTTCTGAGCAGTGCGTCAGTTTATAAGTAGAGGCTTCATAGACACAGTCGGTGGGTTAAGATTCAGATGTTTTTGATAATAACTTAGCAGTATTTCATTTGTTACTACGAATAAAGTTTTGGAGTTGGTTTATTTTAGATATTTAAATTAATTAAAAATATATGGTTAAAGTATTGCCTTGTTGAATATAAAGTTTGAAGTTATAATAGATTTGATAAGCGTAGATGGTTCGCTCGGTCAAGTTTAGTGATCGGGTGCCGGTCACGGCTTGTTCAGAAAATGGGTCGTGACAAACTTAGTATCAGAGCCTCAGGTTTATGGAGTCCTAGGGGTCTATGAAGCCGTGTTAGTAGAGTCTTGTTTATGGGTATGAAGCGCGCCAAACTTATAAACAGGAGGCTACAAGCATTTAGGAAAAGTCTCATTTTTTTTTTCATATTTTAGATCATGCAGTAGAGCCAACCTCTAAGAAATTATCTAATGTATTCGTTTCTCCAAAACTCGCAGAAATGGCTCGTACTTGCAACTCTGACACCGACACTCAGGATGCTGCTCAAGAGACTATTGCTACTATTGTGGCTCAAGGTAGAACTAAGAAGTCTTCAACTCAGAAAAGGAAGGGTAAATCCACAAAGGGGGTTCAAGTACCCCGGGTTGAACATGAAGAAGGGGTGGAGCATGATGAGCAAATAGCTCAGGATCCAGTGCCACCCCCAACAGCAGCTCCGGCTCAGACAGCTATATCTCCAGAGGTGGGTCAGATGTTTAATGCTGTCAACAGTGCTATGGAGATGTTTAAAGCCTTCATGGCCAACCAGAACGAGAGAAGAGATGAGATACCACCTCAATCAAATAGACAGAACAATTTTGAGTCCTCAAGAGTGAATGAATTTTTAAAGTTGAGTCATCCATTGTTCCATGGTTCTATAACTGATGAAGATCCAATGTTGTGGCCGGAGGGTGTCAAGAAAGCCCTCCGAACGATGAAGGCATTTGATGATGAAGCTGTGGAGCTGGCTGCTTACCAGCTTAGAGATGTGGCTGGCGCTTGGTTTGAGATGTGGGAAAAGGAAAGAGATGAAGATGATGGTCCGCCTACTTGGGAAGAATTTGAAGAGGCCTTCATGGCTAACTTTATCCCAGAAGAGGATAGGGAAGCTAAGGCTACAGAGTTCGAACAACTCAAGCAAGGGAATAAAAGTGTGCAAGAGTACTATATGGAATTCATAAGGTTGGCTAAGCATGTTCCTCACATGGTTAAGATAGAAAAAGCAAAGATTCGCAGGTTTGTTGGCGGTTTGGCTTACCACATTAAGGATACAACATCAGCTGCAGCGGTAGGAATGACATCTTTCTCCTCTGTTGTGGGATTCGCCAAGCACTTAGAAAAATACAGACAACAAAGGAGAGAAGAAAAAGAGCATAACAAGAAAGCCCGGACAGCGGGCAAGTTTAAAGGTACATCCAACGGAGGTGGAAGGGGTTCCTCCAATAAAGAGTCATTAGCACCAGCTCAGTCCAGTCATCAGTCAGGTGGTGGGTCTTCTTTCAGACGTACTCAGAGTTATGGAAACCAATCTCGCCAGAATTAGAATTTTAGGACATCATCCTCACATAGCCAGAGTCCTGCTGAGCAACATTCACAACAACAAGGTCTTTGTGGAACATGTAAGCGGCAACATTCAGGTCAATGCAAGCTCGGGTTTCATGGTTGCTATCATTGCGGAGGCATTGGTCATATAAAGGCCAACTGCCCAAAGTTGCGACGTAATTTCAGTGGGGAATCAACTCGTCCTTCTAGTTCCTCAGCTACTACAGTTGCACCACCTCAAGCTCGTGGTTCTCATAATCAGGCAGGGCATGGAGCAGGCAGAGGTGCAGATCGAGTTACTCAGGGATGGTGACAACCCCGTTTGTTTGCTACACTTGATCGTCAGAGTGCAGAGGCATCTGCAGAAGTTATTACAGGTATACTTCTAGTTTGCTCGCATAATGCTTATGCCATAATTGATCCAGGTTCAACGTTTTCGTATGTGACTCCATACTTTGTAATTAACCTCGGGATAGAACCGGAACAACTTAGTGAGTCATTCCTAGTATATACTCCAATTGGTGAGTCAGTGAAAGTCACAAAAGTCTATAGAGGTTGTATAGTTTCAGTCCAAGATCGCAGCACCGAGGCCGATCTCATAGAGTTAGAAATGGTGGATTTCGATGTGATCATGGGTATGGATTGGTTGTCTTCCTGCTATGCCATGTTAGATTGTCGTGCCAAGATAGTCGGGTTCCAATTCCCAAATGAAGAAGTCTTAGAGTGGAAGGGTAGTTCAACATCACTTGTAGGTAAATTTATTTCTTACCTTAAGGCATTTATTTCTTACCTTAAGGCACAACGAATGATCGGTAAGGGGTGTCTCGCCTATTTGGCTCACATCATTAATCCAGAATAAGAACCACCAGCTCTTCAGACTGTGCCAGTTGTTAGAGAATTTCCAGAAGTTTTCCCAGATGACCTTCGCGGACTTCCTCCCGAAAGAATCATAGACTTTGGCATTGATCTCATGCCAAGCACTCAGCCCATATCTATACCTCCTTATAGGATGGCTCCAGCAGAACTTAATGAGTTGAGAGAACAGTTGAAAGACCTCCTTGACAAGGGCTTCATCAGGCCGAGTGTTTCACCGTGGGGTGCCCCGATCCTATTTGTCAAGAAGAAAGATGGGTCTCTCAGAATGTGCGTGGACTATCGGCAGTTGAATAAAGTTACCATTAAGAACAAG